AAATTTTAACAACTTTCACAATCTTTACAACTTCCCTTCAACAAACAAATTCTACACAAAATAAATTACAAAAATACTGAAGTCGTTAACATGTACATACATGGATGTTCACTGACGCCGGCCACCTACTCCGCCACCAGCCAACCACCATAAACAATAAAAAAAGTTAATTGCACCCCTTAACGTTCCTGTTTTTCAAAATCCCTTTGTACAAAACTTGCCAATTTCTCGGCATCGCCTCCAGATTTTCATCCTCATTCTGGGCCGGCTTCGACAGATGCTTCTTGGATCGTTCTTCATCATTCCATGATAGCTCCACCACTTCATCGGAAAATCTCACTTTCTTCTTTCGCACTTGATCCTTTCCATATTCTGTGCATACACGCATGATTACATAAATTATACTACTATCAATTAAAACCTTAAATTCTATGAAATTAATTCTTTCAAAGAAATAAAAAACAATACCAGCTGCAGTGCCGATCTCGAATTCAATTTTCTTCATGAAATCAGAAAGAAGGCGTTTATGAAGTTGCATGGCAATAAATACAACGCTCCCAGAAACTGCAAAAACTGCCATAAAACCTGTTCCTAAAGAATTCTCCATTTTTCTTCTGCTTGTTTCTCGATCGAGAATATAATCAAAGGGTTTTTAGATGAAAGAGTAAAGGAAGAACCATTTTCTGGATATAAAGATTGTAATAAGGACAAAAGGAAATTGCATTGGCGAAGGTATCAATGTGAAAACAGGAAAAAGGGAAAAGAAAATGCTTTGGGGTTGGTAGAATAGAATACAAAGAATGAATCGTTGTTGAAGAAACCAGAAGTTGTAAATGGAGTTTAATATTGACTTTCTAGATGATCATTGACCTAACTGCCAGTCTGTGAAATTACACGGCTGTCCTTGACAGTTTACACCACATTTTAATTACATTATAGGTCCTTAGGTTTTATTAATTATTAAATTTATATCCTTAACCTTTTTATTATACTCTTTTCTGTAACCTAGGAAACCTTCTCCTTCACAAGATTCATGCAAAAATATT